GAAACAACAGGGGATGAATCATCATCATTACAAACTTTTCTGTGATACACATAAATCTTTTGTCCTTCAAAATCAGTTTCCTCTTCCGACCAACCCTCTTGTTTGAGTCCTCTTGCTACACGATACCAAGCCTCTACGGCTTTTGTCATTCCATTATCCAGTAGTATGCCCTCTTTATCAATGAGTAATTTCCTCCAAAACTCTGGTTGCGACCTACCACTGGGTGACATTCGGAAACCACAAATCTTTGCAATCTTTTTCATTTTTAACATAGCTTCCTCTCCTGCTCTCTCTTTAACAATGTCATAGGATAAATGACCTTTTGAAGGTCTAGCATGCTTCTGTCCCATTTTTATCAAACAAGGCTTTTCCCCGTAAGAGGGACAGAGATAGAGAGAAGAAAAAGAAGGAACGTCTACAGTGCTCGACTGCCACGAGGAATTGATCCCTGTGCGTCTTTCCTAAATGTAGACTAGTCACAGGATCCGCCCACCCGAGATGGTGGTCACGGATCTGAGCGGACGAGCGTGGGTGACTAACACAGCTCTGGGCAACAAGTACAGAGGAGATAGAGAATAAGGGAAAAGGTGAACGTGGAGAGACTAATCAGAAGGCATTTACAGGAGTCACAAATATAGAGATGTGCACATAATCCGGAATCGAGGACAACCCATACAACACACACACCAAGGGTACCCACACTATGACCACAAGTGAACAAGAAACAAAGTATAACAAAGAACAATAAGAATGCAAACATAGCAATAACTAGACCGTAATTGAACCCTGTTCTACTCTGAACAGTACAGCAAAATTCCCAGCCCTTCTCTAGTCTGTCCCCAGCTCTTTACCGGGCGGTCAAATCCCCAACTCTTTACCGGGTGGTTGCGTCCCCTGCCCGCTAGGCAGACAAGCTATAATAATAAATCCCCAGCCTTTCTCTAGGCGGATGCGTCCCCTGCCCGCTAGGCAGTCAAGCTATAACAATAAACCACACACCGGCCATCTCACACACTCACACACACTCAGGAGGCAGATAGGCAATCGACAGGTTCGTTTTTAAAAAGCACCAGATAAGAGATTACCTGTCTTGTAGCCTTCTGGAAGCCGTAAGTGGACACGGAGACATACCGACACAAAACAGGAGAATACAGACAAACCGCTGTATTTAGGAGGTGATCAGGCTCCGGTTGTCCCACTTTCCGGAGGTCCGCTCCGGTCCCGTTTTCCGGCTGTCCGAACCGGCGAGATCTGGTGCCCCACATTGGGCGCCAAATGATGTGGAAATCAATCTATAAATTGATTGTCTTACGTATCTGCCCCTGGCCAAATTAAAGAAGTAATGCGTGCACGCTCCTAAAGTAATTCACACCAGACACAGGTTTCAGGTTAATGAAAAACTATCTCTATCTCTATCTCTATCTATTGGTAACAAAATACACCTAGAATGACATTCTATATATATATCTATCTATCTATCTATATATAAAATACAAATAACCGCAAATATATATATATAATTACATAAGTATACACGTAGAATTTAAATACATATATATGTATATATATTAAAATTCTATGTGAATATTTAAGTAATCTTTTAACTTAATTATGTGATTTGATTGACGTGCCTGACAACCCAGGCAGAAAGTGCAGAGAATTAATATTTAACCCTGTAACTTTCCAAGACACCATAAAACCTGTACATGGGGGTTACTGTTTTACTCGAAAGACTTCGCTGAACACAAATATTAGTGTTTCAAAATGATAAATTGTATTACAATGATGATATTTTCAGTAAAAGTGAAGTTTTTGGCATTTTGCACACACGAACAGCACTTTTACTGACAATATTATTGTTGTTGTTTTACTGTTTTGAAACACTAATATTTGTGAACCCCCCATGTGAAGGTTTTGTGTTGTTTTGGAAAGTTAGAGAGTCAAAAATAAGGCTTGCATTTACATTATTGCATTTACATTATTCTTTTTTTTAACATTGAAATTTGCCAGTTTGGTAATGTAGCCTTTGGGACCGTATGGTATCCCAGGCATGAGAATTACCCCCATGATGGCATACCATTTGCAAAAGTAGACAACCCAAGGTATTGCAAATGGGGTATGTCCAGACAATTTTAGTAGCCACCTAGTCACAAACATTTTGTTTTGAACGTGTACTATTGACTCCGTCCTGAAGGAGTTAAAGGGTTTCTCTAGTGCCAGGAAAACAAACCCGTTTTCCTGGCACTAGAGAATCCTGGAGTGACCCCCTTCCTTCCGACCCCCATCCTGCGTCGCTGAAGGGGTTAAAACCCCTTCAGACACTTACCTGACTTCAGCGCAGAGAGACCGCCTGCGGGGGAGACCTAATGCGCATGTGCGGCAATGGCCGTACGCGCATTAGACCTCCCCATAGGAAAGCATTATTCTTTCCTATGGGGATTCCTGCAACGCTGGAGGTCCTCCTGCAAAGCGTGAGGACGTCCAGCGTCGTTTAGATGACAAGAAGCCAGAAGCCCCTCTAGTGGCTGTCTGCTAGACAGCCACTAGAGGAGGACTAAACACTGCAAGGTAATTATTGCAGGTTATAAAAACTGCAATAATTACACTTGCAGGGTTAAGCGTGATGGGTATTGGCACCCATACCACTTCAATGGGCTGAAGTGGTCTGGGTGCCTACAGTGCCCCTTTAACCTTGCCTGGTAAGTATTGCAATCCATGAATCATTTTGTAGCCCTTCTCTGAACTCTCTCAACAGTATTAATATCCTTCTGGAGATATGGTCTCCAATACTGCATTCAATAGTCCAAATGAGGTCTCACCAGTGCATGAGCACTTCCCTCTTTCTACTGCGAATACCTACAAACAAGCATTCTGCTAGCCTTTGCTGCTGCTCTATTACACTGTCTGCCTACATTTAAGCCAACTGAAATAATTACCCCTAATACTTTTCCTCAGATGTTGAGGTTAGGACTGTACATGGCCATAACCCCCTCCAAAGACCAAATCGCAGTTTATGTTTAAGGCCATTAATTCATAAAAGAAAAATAACAAAATAAATATCTGCAACATGAAGACTGGAGAATCACCTGTGTCCTCTTTTATTTTCTTAATGTGTCAAATCTAACATAATTATTCACTTAACACTTATATTCTCAAAATCTGAGAAAATAATTTGGTAGGTGCTTGAGAAACTAACGGGGATACATTCAGGTTAGAGTGTTCCTTTAAACTGTTAGTATTCTAGATGATTATTATTATGTTTTTCTTCTGAATGTTTGTTTAGTTTGTGCAAATTCCACGTTTGATTAATATGTGGCTTTGTTTCTTTTTCACAGGGCATTTTTGCTGATCGGAGCTCCTAAAGCAAACACCACTCAGCCAGGCATTAGTGAAGGAGGAGATGTAGTTAAATGTGATTGGAAAAGCTCAAACTGCCAGCGTATTGTTTTTGACCCTAAAGGTAATGCAGTTTTAATTTTTTATATAAATTGAGTAATGCAGTAGTTCCCAAATCGGTCTAAATGGTATCCCTACCAATCCAGGATAACCTAGTTGTGTCTAAGGTGATTTTTTTTTATTTTTTTTTACTTAGAGCACCTTAGACTCAACTGGGTAATCCTAAATTCTGAACTGGTAGGGATGCATTGAGGACTGGTTTGGGAACCACTAGACTAACAAATTAACTGTTTTTTTAAATTATTTTATTGGACTGTTGATGCAACATCGTCATGAAAAATGCAGATCTGTTGTAAAAATTATAATGGTGCCAAGCCTTGCATGATGCTGCACATTAAAATGGGTAAACAAAACAAAAACAGTTATGCATTATTAACCCCCTTAAGGACGGCAGGCATACTATGCCGTACTTCGGGACCGGGTCCTAAACGTCGGCAAGCGGCAGTGTACGTCCCCGTCGTCCTATGCACTTACCTGCTCGCTGCGAGGTGGGGGACTTGCCTGGCATCCCAGGCTGTTCCCCTGCTGCTGATCTGGCCCTCCTGGGCTAGGTGATCGCGATGAGGTCGCATTCACATGGACAGAATAGCCGTCCACAGCAGTGCCTGCAGGGGGCCTGCCTGCAATGACAGACAGTCCCCCTAATGCCTGAATCAATGTTAAATACAGTTTTAAAAACCGTGTAAAAGTAAATTGTATATACTTAGATCAGGGCTTCTCAAATCCCAGGCACCAGGTCTCCATGGTGACTAGAAATTTCAGTCTGGCTTCTGGGATGTCAGCCCTTTTAGGCGGCCACCCAAGGGAACATTAAAGCCGGCTGCGATGGGGAACACTGGAGCCGCCCGCCCTATATAGCTGAGGCAGCGTGGGGCTGCCTGCTCGCAGAGCATGTGGGCCTCAATCCCGTGGGAGCATTGTATTCTGAATGCAAGGAAGTAGTAATATACCTTCTGCTCCCTCATGCGCTGTGTGTGTGTCAGTGTTTTTTGTCTCTGTCAGTGTGTGCGCCTGTCAGAGAGTATGTTTGTGTGTGTGCGAGCCTGTCAGAGAGTGAGTGTGTGTGCGCCTGTCAGTGTGTGTGCGCGCGCCCCTGTCAGAGAGAGTGTGTGTGTTCTCCCTGTCAGTGTGTGTAGGTTCAGGGCATAGAAAGTCGTAATGACTGTATATAACTTAGACCATATAACAAAATGGAAAATATGAACAGTTGGTTGTGGTGTGCCGAAAATCGACGATGCGGTAGGCCTGTAATAAAAGAGGGCCCAAACTGAGTATTATTGTTAGTAAATGGAGCAGTGGGAGTGGTAAATCGCCCCTTTTATATATACATACATTTACATATTTTAATTCTACATATATATATATATATGTGTGTAATATTGTTACATAATTACAAAATTTTATTACGGTATGAGGGACCAAAGTCCACAGAATTTGGTTTGCAGGCCTTATATTTAACCCTGTAACTTTCCAACACACCATAAAACCTGTATATGGGGGGTACTGTTTTACTCGGGAGACTTCGCTGAACACCAATATTACTGATTTCAAATCAGTAAAATGTATCACAACGATGATATTGTCCATGAAAGTGCAGTTTTTTTTTTGGCATTTTTTCACACACAAATAGCACTTTCACTGACGATATCATTGTTGTGATACGTTTTACGGTTTTGAAACACTAACATTTGTGTTCAGAGAAGTCTCCCGAGTATATCACTATCCCCATGCACTGGCGGAACTACCGCGGTCTCAGTGGTCGCAGCTGCGACCGGGCTTGTCACTCTAGGGCAGTGTTTCCCAACCCAGTCCTCAAGGAACACCTACCAGTCCAGGATTTAGGGATTACCCAGTTGTGTCTAAGGTGTTTTTACAAAGAAGAAAAAAAACACCTTAGACACAACTGGGTAATCCCTAAATCCTGGACTGGTAGGTGTGCCTTGAGGACTGAGTTGGGAAACACTGCTCTAGGGGGCCCGGCCGCCCTGTCGACACCTGCAACCAGGGTGCCCGTCAGCATTTTGGTGCATAAAAAAACGTCAGGGCCACATTGAAGGAGCCAACCGAATGCTCTTGGGGCCACCCGATGGCAATGGATTTCCTGGGGCCTGGTCAGCGCTTCGGTGCTTTAAGAGCACGACCGGGCTCAAGTGATGTCAGAGCTGGGAGGAAGCCGTCACTTCCTCCCAGCCAACAGAGCGCCGCACAGGAGGAGAGGAGGGAGTCAGAGTGGGAGCTCTGATTCCCATCAGCATGAGGCTGCCACTGGACCCCAGGTAAGTCACTAAATTTTTGTAACAGTTTGTGTATGTGATAGAGAATGTCTGTATCAGTATATCTGTGTGTGTGTCTGTATGAATGGGTCTCTGTGTGTGTGTCTGCATGTGTATCTGTTTGCATCTGTGGGGGGGCGGCGATGTATGGAGTGGGGGATAGACGTATTGGGGAGGGGGGAGCAGGGCAAATTTTGCACCGGTGCCCCGTGGTTTCTAGTTACGCCTCTGCCCCCATGTACAGGTTTTATAGTGTTTCTTTTTTTCTTTTTTTTTTAAGTTACAGGGTTACATGCAAGGCTTGCATTTCAGTTTTTTCACATTTAAATTTGCCATATTGGTTACGTTGCCTTTGAGACCGTATGGTAGCCCAGGAATGAGAATTACCCCCATGATGGCATACCATTTACAAAAGTAGGCAACCCAAGGTATTGCAAATGGGTTATGTCCAGTCTTTTTTAGTAGCCACTTAGTCACAAACACTGGCCAAAATTAGCGTTAAAATTAGATGTTTGCAGTTTTCACACACAAACCAATATGAACGCTAACTTTGCCTAGTGTTTGTGACTAAGTGGATACTAAAAACACTGGACATACCCACTTGTAATACCTTGGGGTGTCTCCTTTAGCAAATGTTATGCCATCATAGGGGGTAATTCTCATTCCTGGGCTTCCATTTGGTCTCAAAGGCAACATAACCAGTCTGGAAAATTTCAATGTGTATAAACTGAAAAATGTAACATGCTATATGTGACCCGGTAACTCTCCAAAACACCATAAAACCTGTACATTTGGGGTACTGCTTTACTCATGAGACATCGGTGAATACAAATATATGTGCATTTTATTGCAGTAACAGTTAACAGTATTATGCTATTCTTAGTTAAAATTCCTTGCAGAACTAAAAAAATAACAATTTCTTAATTTCTCAAGTTTTTTAAAATATTTTATTAATATTAAATTATGTTTCATATATGATTATTTCATATGACATGAAAGCCCTGTTTCTCCTCAACAAAAAGATATATAATAAGTGTGTGTGCATTTAATATGAAAAAGATGAATTCTGGTTGAAAGACATATAGCGCAAATTCAAAGTTTCGTTTACGTTTTGTCTTGATAACTTGTACAACTGCCTCAGTCCTTAAGGGGTTAAAGGAACACTCCAAACACTATATTATGTCAGGGGTGCCCTGATATCTCTCTATTGTTTATAGTCAAACTATTTTAGAGTAGTTTGACTTCTTACCTGGGATATGCCAGGCACCACTTCTGCCTTTACTATGAACGACGGAAAGCTGGAAGCAGTGCTGACAGTCTCAGCCAATGAGCTTACCTTGTATAGCAGGGCTTAGCTCACAGATTCTTTGTTATTAGTAGAGGCATGGAGTGCCCCTAATGGACCTCAGGTACAAATTCAAACCATTCTAAAATAGTTTGACTACATAAATAGGGAGGGGCACCATAACCAGTACAGCATAACTATTGAATTTTTTTTTTTTAAATTTTGACAAAATGAAATGGTTGAAATATAGGATGCTAAGTTGGTGAGAGAATAAGGGATATTTTAGAATGGGAAAAAAAGTAGTAAAACTGTGATAATTATAAATTTAAAAACACTCCACAAGTTGTCTTTTTACATACTTCTAATGTGACTTTTGGAGCTTAGGTTGGCTAGTGAGGGGAAATGAGTGCCAGGAGCCTTGGCCAGTGTCCCCTATAGTATAGCCAGCATATGCCTGATAGCAGAGCTTCAGGAACAATTATGTTTTCCCTTGCGGATTAATACGTGGGGATATGGCACCCAGAATTCTTCATTGAGATAAAGTGGTCTGGGTGCCTATTGTGCCCCTTTGAGGATATCTTTGTATTTTGCTGTGTTCAACTTTCCCTAGATCTTTCTCCTTTCCTGCTGCTGAAAAACACACCCAAAGCATTATGCTATTACCACCATACTTCACTGTTGGGATGGTATTGCACAGGTGATGAATGGTGTCTGGTTTCCTTCAGACACAATGCTATGACTTCAGGTCAAACAGTTCAATCTTCTTTCATCAGGTGGGATAATCTTGTTTCTCAAAGTCTGAGATTCCGTAAGGTGCTTTTTTTTCACATTTTAAGCAGGCTTTTATGGGTGTTTCAGTGAGAAGAGACCTCTTTCTGGACAGTCTTCCATAAAGGCCAGATCGGTGGAGTATTAGTGGTGGTTGTCCATCTGCAAGTTTCTCCCATCTCCACACATTATCTCTGTAGCTGACCAGAGTAACCATCAGGTTCTTGTTTACTTCTCTTACCAAGGCTCTTCTAATCCGATTGTTCAGTTTTGCCTGGATGAGTCTTCCATTTAGGAATTTATGGAGGTTACTGTGCGCTTGGGAACCTTCAATGCAGCCACATTTTTTTTTGTAGCCTTCCCCCGATCTGTGCCTCTACACAATCCCATATCTGAGCTCTACAGGCAGTTCTATTGACCTCATGGCTTGGGTTGCTCTGCTATGCATTTACAACTGTGAGACCTTATATAGACAGGTGTGTGTCTTTCCAAATTGTGTTCTATAAACTGAATTTGTCACAGGTAGACTCCAATCAAAGTGTAGAAATGTGTCAAATATACTCCAGAGAAATGGGACGCATCAGTGCTAAATCTGAGTGCCATAGCAAAGGGTTTAAATAATTGTGTCAATGTTTAGTTTTTTTGCATTGCTATTATGGGGTATTGGGTGTAGATTGATGTAAAAAATAATTTTAAACAATTGTAGCATAAAATGTGAGAATGAAGGGGTCTGAATACTTTCTTAATGCATTGTATATATGAAAAAAATACATCAATCACATTAATTTGATTAATATTCAGATCTTGTATTTTATGTAGTGTTCATGTTTGTAATTCAGATGATAAATAGCACTCATCTCAACGTTATGTATACTAGCAAAGTATTTTTGTGATGTTTTTAAATCCCCCTTTTTTAAGGTAATTATGTTCATGTAGCTGTTATAAATATATTTACACAAAGTATTGTAGACCTAACAGACCATTTATGTGTTTGTATTTTTTTATGTTTATTTAGGAAATAGAGATTATGCGCCAAATGATCCCATTGAATTTAAGTCTCATCAGTGGTTTGGAGCTACTGTACGATCTAAAGAGGATACAATATTAGTAAGTTGTACATTATTTATTTATGTATTCATTTTGCTGTTTGTCTTGAAATGAGAAAGTTATGCTTTGTGTAGTTTATATCTAGATCTTTGTAGTTCTTGAGATGTAAAGGTTTTTGTACAAATTAATGCTATAACCAAAACGAATGCAATATGTGACTAGATAAAAAGAAAAAAAAATAACATCTTGATCTGACCAGGGAGGACCTAAAAGTGTTAAAAAAACAAATCTTTGTTTTGGTAGCGTTAAATTATGAATACAATTATAATCAAAATTTCTGCTAGTCTTACATTGTTTTTCATTCCTATATTATATATATATATTATATTTTCTACCAACTGGGCGACAATGGCTGCTCAGTTGCTAAATTTAATGATTAGTAAATATGCTCTTACCTGCCAGATGGCAGAAGAGGCATATGGAGGTAAAATATATAATACAATTTGGGGTTTATTGACCCCCATAGAAACATAGAATGTGATAGCAGATAAGAACCATTCGGTCCATCTAGTCTGCCCAATTTTTGAAATATTTTAATTAGACCCTGGCGTTATGTTAGGTTTAGGATAGCCTTATGCCTATCCCACGTCTGCTTAAACCCCCTGACTGGAAGGCGATGTGTCCACTACCCTCTCTGTAAAGTTACACTTCCTGAAATTATTTTTAAACCTTTGCCCCTCTAATTTAAGACTATGTCCTCTTGTTGTGGTAGTTTTTCTTCTTTTAAATATAGTCTCCTCCTTTACTGTGTTGATACCCTTTATGTATGTAAAGGTTTCTATCATATCCCTCGTCTCTTCTTTCCTCTAAGCTCTACATGTTAAGATCCTTTAACCCCTTTCCAACCTACGTCCGACAAAAACGGTCCTTATAGACCTCGGACGTACCTAGTATGTCCGACTATTCCTATTCACTTACCCGATTGTTGCCGTTCTCGCACCGGCGATCGGTGTTCCTCTCCATCTGGGGGGACTGTGTGACAACCCAGACAGTCCCATCTTGGCAAATTAGGACCACGCGGGCCATGTGATCACTCTAAAAAAGAGCAGTCACATCGCCGCAATAAGCATTCATAGTGCTGCCTGAACTTACAGGCAGTCCCTCTGCTGGTGAAAAAATAAAATAAAAACGTTAATAAATAAAAAATTGTTTATATATATATATATATATATATATATATATATATATATATATATATATATAATAGTTAATACATCACTAAACACAAATACACACACCAGTCAAGC